CATGTGGTTAAACCAATACACTCTAGTCAACCACGAGTATGTCTCATAATCAGTTTCGAATGTCTTGGAATCATCAAATGAAAGGAGGAAAAGAAAAAGCTAGGAAAAAGGTGGGGCAGGAGTCTCACACAGGTACAGTTCTTTCTACATTTATACTACATACATAGAGGCGAAGCCGTGGCATCTTTAGAATCAGCAAAGACGACTCAGTTACGTTTCAACACTCGCACAACTGTCGCTGCTGTTTGGTAAATTATATATTTTACTTTTATCCATTGTACGTTTATTCGTCCCATTATTCACACAAGTGCATCGATTATTGAGTGACACGTCAAAATTTCCCGCCCCATATTTACCAAGTCGAAATGCGATCCACAACTTTTTTACCCATACGTAATTCATTCATGTTAATATTACTTGCGCCAATTATCCTAACTCAATAATTCCTGCTGATCAATTTACCCACATGGTGTATTTTGTCCGGTTTTTTTGAATTTGGCACGCGAAAATCTTTATTCGAATTTTAATAAAACACCAGACAAATTTTATGAAATTGATCTGATGCCTATGAAAACAAAAAAAATGAAAATAACTTATTTACACTGGATAAAATTGTAGACTATGCGTAATTCACCTGTAGAATTTTTCGTTCTATATATTTCTTCGTGATTGTCATACCTAATGCGTCTACTGTACAAGGCCTTTTGCAGTCGATTTGCCATTTGTTTTTATTCCGTCACGGAGACTCTGAAATTTTTTCACAGAAAATTTTAGTTTAATAACTGAATCATTGTATGTGTCTATTTCTTGTTGCGGTCCTTCAACACAATCGTTGACCTACACTTTGACTACTTTGGCCTTGTATATGTGAAGGAAAACCCCTTGAATCATTTCTCTTGATTAGTTTAACAACCGTGTAGATGACCTTAATTTCCACGATTTTGAAAAAATCATAAAGAGTAAACAAATGAGTTTAGCAATATTTTTTCAATTGTTTGATTTTGAAAATTGAAATATGAAAATTGAAATATGAAAATTATATCAATGGGTATCACTACTTATTGTTTTTAAATAGATGCTTTTTATCAATAATCAACGATCATGAATAACTATAAAATAACTCTCTTTACTCCATGACATAAAAACGCGGCCGAGTGTATAATTTTACCGGTTAGTTATGACCATCATTTACAGAATCGATGCAATAATCATCTGCCACAGATTATCTAATTACTACTCGATTTATTTTACATCTACTTAATGCTGGACATAAATGAGAAATATTTTTAGTGGTAAAATTCACTGTAACACTTGGGAGATTCAGTTCTTTTCCCGTATGACTACAGTTTTACATTGCATTGATTCCAAGGTCACAAAAAGAGCTCATGAAATTTAAAGTTGCGTATGTAAGTCAAATATCTGTAATTGGAGGAAAAGGTTAAGATAGGTGAGTTTATTTCCAAGTGTATGGGTTCGTGAAAGTAATGTACTCCTCTGCAAGGGATACATAATGTTAAATGATCCCATTAATGATTGTTACTTAATGTCTCGTCTATGAGCCATTTTTATTGTTAATTTGTTGGAGCAGATTATCTAACTACAAAGTAGGCAATGGGGATTATTTTATAGTTGATGATAAATAAACGGTGCTGGAGGGGAGAATGGCACGGGTTCGCCAGACTGCCTCTGGCAACCGAATATAAGCTGTCGCTCCAGCATCCATAGTCAGTCTTGTAGGCTGTGTCTGTCAAACCGGTAGGTTTCGTTTCCCTTTCATAATCTTTTTTTTTACCATTGATATCGTGTTGTTTATTGGCTTGTACTACTACGATTCTGGAGCATCAGAGTTTAATATTCGTAATCTTTCAATTTTCCAACTGCTTTAGTTCTATTTTATAGAAACATATTCATGGGTCATATGAAAAGTTATGCATACTTCTATATGGAGAGGAATTCTCAATAAAAATTATCCTTACGGTAGAGTAAAAGTGTGTGACGCACTTTTGGAAAATTTTTATTCTGACGCTTAGCAAAAATTGATATTGAATAAGGAAATTGATTAAAAGTAAAATAAATTCTATTCTACTAGAAGATTATTTTTTCCACACAGTGTACAATTGATGGTATGATTATCTTTTAGTTAATTATTATACTGTCATAAAAATAATTTTTATCCATCCAAGACGAATAAATTTAATTCATTGTGCGCATTCGAAACTAATCAGATGCGCGATAATGTTTACCCTTCCGGAGGATAAATTCTACCCGTAAAACGTCATCAGTCTCTAGCTCCGTCCATCTACCTCTCTCTTTAATACAATATGTGCAAGACGTTCGTACAACGCAATTCATCCCAACCGCCAGCTAATGTCAATTTTTATTCTTTCATTCACAATAAATTATTCAGCCAACAAATTGAAATTTCACTTGCGTCATTTGAAAAGAAAGCTTTTCAAGTATTTTCAGAGAAAGTGTCAAATTTCGTTGCGAAAATTTTTTCGATAACCGAAATAATTGAATCGGTGCGTGTGATAATATTTTTATGTTCAACTTTTGTGGATTGGGAACAGTATTAAAAATGGTTGAAAAAAGAATCAACAGTTCACTCGAGAGACAATTTTATTGCTTTTCTATATATTTTTCCCAATTGCCAATAGATGTATTAGAATCCTAACAAATAGTTGTCTACTGTTAAGGGAAATGTTTTTAGCTACATCACGCCTAAACCCGCGTGTTGCGTAATAGAGAGAGATGGCATTACATATTAATATGTAATTGATTTTAATTACGCTATTTCATCGTTATCCGGGAGAGACTGAAATTCTTCCTCATATAAGAGTATTCTTCCACATATTCGCTTTTCAAGTGTCTGTTGGTATAAGAGGACATAAAAAAAATGGACAAATAAACCTTCACCAGTCCATCACATGACAGGACGTTCCTAAAGGACAAGCAAAATCGATAAAGTACCAATGAGGTCACTGCATTGAAATTAATTATAAAATTTCTGGTTAATCTGGTTCGCCGGCCTTGAATTTTTTACGTTTATATTGCTAAATATCTAAAAAATGTAAAATGTGATTTGTCGCATCGGCCGACATGCGGAGTTTTTCTGAATGATAGTTCATTCCAGAAAACACTTTATCTCATTTAAAAAACGTACTACGTATTTGCGTGGCTCGTATCATGCATATGCTTAAACCTTTAAATAGTCCCTCAGTCATGTACATATAGAAAAATTCTCATGTGTCACAAAAATGAGTCGATATTGTCGGCATAAAATTTTATGGAATTGAGAAAATATTTTCAATTATAATATTTAGAGTTAATTGAAATGTTAGCGGTCAAAATAGTTTGACATCAGCATTTCATCTATGGAAGCTGTCGACACTCAAAAGGAACGCTGTTCCATTCAACCATGAAAAATATGAAAATATTATTTTTGTTTCTTTTTCAGAAATTGCATTTTAAACATGAAAGTCCTTGTGCTGGTCTTATCAATCGCCTCAGTGGTTATCGCTCAAGTAAGTTCGTCAGTAGAAAAACCGTAGGCGTTTAGAAAAGGGAAGGAATTTAAAAATTGTAATAACCCGTATTTCATTCAGGAAATCCAAGCAGTAGTGAAAATTCTACCGCATAATGCATCATCGACGGTAACTGGAACAATTAAGTTCGTTCAGAGTAAGCTTGATGGACCTGTCAGTGTAACTGGAACCATTACTGGCTTGAAAAAAGGCAAGCATGGATTCCATATTCATGAGAAAGGAGATCTCAGTAACAACTGCACCTCTACGGGCGGACACTTCAATCCAAAAAATGTAGGTTATTATTCATTACTGTAATAAACGTTACAGGTACACTGAAAGAAAAGTGTCGATTGAAAGTGTTCGTTCTTGATGGAAATCTTAAACAAGTAGATGCAGGTTTGAATTGTATTGCAGTAACAAAAAAATACGAGCACTACATTCAACTGTGTGCATATTTTCACTCAGGGATGAACACATTTCATTTTTAAAGTCCGAAGTCCCTAAGGATGTTCTGGCGGGGTCAGAACGTATCCGAAAAATGAAGAGAATCGAGTGAAACTTTTTTAAAACATTATTTAAGACATTTCAAAACCATGTGTAAAATTTCAAAAATTTCATCAACAGAAAAACAATGAAAATAAATTGTAAAGTTGCTACTTATACACGGGGTCAAGTGGAGCATCGATAACTTCAACATTTTACCTATATTGCCGATTGATGGATAATGTAGAGAAAATGCTAAAGTTATCGATGCCTCATTTAACCTTATGCATAAATACTAATTTTGCAATTTATTTTCATTGTTTTTCTGTTGATGAAATTTTTGAAATTTTGCACATGGTTTTGAAATGCCTTAAATAATGTTTTAAAAAAGTTTCACTCGATTCTCTTCATTTTTCGGATACGTTCTGACCCCGCCAGAACATCCTTAAGTTACAAAAAACATATCACTCAATCATTCTGGAGTTGAGACCTTACATTTTTCAAGGATTAAGACTAAAAAAAATCCAGATTCAATATTCCCAGATTTAATGGTTATAAGTGAATGGATGCAATTGAAAAATTATTTAGCGAATTTCATTGACAACTGAATAAAAAAGCCTGCATATATTTTTTCTGAATGCCAAAAAAGGACGAGGGCAAGTGCGAAAGTTTAATATACCGTAATTTCTGAAGCCTTCAAAGTCCTCCTCGAATCACATCTTGGAAAACTTGAAGAAGTTCCAAGTACTCAGTCCTTTGAGACTTGCGATTTATATCGAACGAAATAAAACATTAGCAGACAATTAATGCCTTTATTGGGTTTTAAAGCCCAAATAGATTTAGCAGTGCCCATCATTGCTTTCATTGAGACGAGAAGATTGACTGACGATCAATCGCGTAGATTGATCCGCTTTCTTTTGATCTTAGCATAACTTAGACCTTATCACTATCATTGAGGTCAACGATATCACCGTCATTTACCGTCATTGTCTCGCAGACCATCCGACAATGTTTTTATATTGCAGATGGCCCACGGCGCTCCATCAGACAGTACGAGACATGTTGGAGATCTTGGCAATATTGAAGCTAACGACCAAAATGAAGCTACCATTCATATCGTCGATAAAGTTATCTCCCTGACAGGACCCAATAGCATCATTGGGCGCGGGGTCGTCATTCACTCCGATGTTGATGACCTTGGGAAAAATCAGGACCAAGGATCAAAAACCACTGGCAACGCTGGCGACCGACTGGGATGTGGTGTTATCGGTATCATGTAGGTTGACGTCAGCTCCGATAACAGCAAATACCTTTCCCAAAACTTCTTCCAGTAATTTCCTCCATGACAAGCAGATGTTCTCGTCTTTCCAATCCCTCATGATTATCAAATGCAAAGTATTACTACTGATAGAATTGTTTATTTGATTTTTTTACACTTTTATCTTTCGGATCGCTATAAACTGCTTAAAAATTAAATGACGGCTTTCAGAGTTGATCTGATTTATTTGATAGTATTTTGAACTTTACCATTTTTTATCAGTCATGATAATAGTTTAATGTAAGCCCATGCAAATAATTTTTTTTTAAGCTCCAAATAAATGATATTAACAGCTTGAGGTTATTGTGTTTATTGCTACATTTTTTCTATATGTAGCTATAGATAATGCAATCAATTCTTTCATTATGTAGGTATCTAATGACGTACACTATCCTGTTTATGGTTTCTTTGATGCGTCATAAATTTAGATATGATTGAAATGTTTAAACATAACCATTTGAATTCGTCTTCATTGCATATTATCGCAGAGAAATTTTATCGAAGATGATTCTTTAATTTTGCTATCGTCTTCAGCGCGTAGAAAACCCTATATTTGGAATATCAGATTTAGAACATTATTTACGAAATTTCTGATCGCGTAAATTACGCGTTTGGAAACACAAAGTACGCGATCCATTTACGGCATCCCAATCGCACGAAATCTGTGATTGCGATCGCAAATTCAAGGCTACATATAAAAAAAACTTTTTTGGGCAACGCCAAATCTTCAAGTTTGAGGATATTTTGGGTCATCTGAACATGACTTTCACTGACTTTTTTTCAGCATTTTTTAAAGGGGATTTATATTGCATATACAATTCCAATCACTGATTTTACGCGATTGAGATGTCATTAATGACGGGAAAGGGAGCGTAAATTACGGGGTCGGAACTTGTAATTTACGATATGGGTTCCCGTAATTTACGAGTTCGGAATCATAATGTGTGAGGCATCTTGAACAATCATGGTTCTATGATAAATTTTTTCTCGCAGGTCACCGGTGGGAAGTCTTCCACGTTCATCAGCTGCATCCATGTCCTTTTCTGTAGGCATTATTCTATTGATAGTCGTGTCCGTTTTTGGTTGACAAGACTAAAAGAATCCTCCTACCTAAAACCTATATCAACGTCATCAAATCTATAGAGAAGATCCAAAGACGATTAATTTATATATGATATGTTACTTAAGTTATGCATTTTTATAACTTTCAGTATTTATAATTACCAACTTTCTGAAGATTTTCTAATTATTTAAACGTTTTAAGGGATACCTTAGTCATTTGATTAGTGTACATGGCCGAGTTGCATCAAATTCTATTATATATTTGAAGCCCAGGATAAAAATGTTTTTGTGAAAATTTATTCGCTAAATGATTGTTAAGTGGTGGTATGGAGATTAGGCTAGCACAATCGGCTCTCAGACCGTTTGTCCTAGTGACTGTGTGGTACTTAGCAATTGTATATATCATTTTTTTTTTCGCCAACAGCATTTGGTAATGTTGGAAACTTTTCTTTCTTTTTTAAAAGAAGAATATAGTTTTGATGTTTGTGTAGACTTATTTTGTAGTTTCCGAGCAATAAATAGAGCTTTTCATCTGACTCATGAATCATAAATGTAATTTTTGTTACTCAGTGATAATATTGTTCAATATTGTTCGTCACTTGACCGAAAAAAACTTTTCTGCCTACATGCGCCGAAAGTGAGCATTCTAACCTCACTTCGTTCGGTTAGAAACGTCACTTTCGCTGCATATCGACAGAAAAATCGTATGCAACCCTCGGGAGGAAAAGTAGACAAGCATTTCCCACGTGCAAAATTACCACCCGAACCGAAGGCGAGCCGGAGGCGAGGGTGGTAATTTTGCACGTGGGAAGGAATTGTCTTCTTTTCCTCCCTAGGTGAGCAATATACTATTTCTGACCACTGTGTTTGAGCTTCGCCTCGGACTGCAAACTCACAATTACCAACAAGTTTATTAAATTTCTCTACTACATTGTTTCATCTATGTATTTCATCATATCTTCTCCATCTGTTTTTTTAGAAGTAAAATAAATAGGGATATCGTGGCGTGAACACATATATAACGAATGAGTTGCTGAGTAAAACATTCCAGGAATTTCGATCGAAACCATAATAGCCTTTCTGGTGTACAGAGAACTTGCGAGAGCATTAACGCACAACTGTTCGCGCAACCGGACCTCCATCACTCGATCGAGAGACTGTACAAATTTCAACTAAAGTAATTAAAATTTTAGGATCGTGATTGATTTGATTGATTTGATTGATTGATTGATTTGATATATCAAAATCATCATGGAAACTTGTGGAATGAGTGTCATCAAATACATTCTCTTTATTTTCAATCTAATCTTTGCGGTAAGTCACAGCGAGTGATTCAGTATAATCCAATAATTACGTGCGGTCCTCGAAAGTGCATGTTACATTTTTTTTCTTAAGATTTCTGGTATTGCGATTATATCCGCTGGAGCTATCGTACTGGCAGATGTTGGAGAATTTAGTCATTTTATGGATGGAAAGATTTTGGGTCCACCTGTAGTTCTGATTGTGGCTGGTGCCATAGTGTTTATTATCGCATTTCTGGGATGCTATGGTGCTATCAAGGAAAATTACACACTGCTCATGGCCGTAAGTCATCAATTATAATCATTTACTAATTAAATACGATGACAATGTCTATTCTATACTATACGGTCACAATGAAAAACAAATTTGAACCAATGAATGCCAAAATAATTGAATGGGATATCATGAATACTAGTTTGCTGGCGCCATGCTCCTTATCTTCATCATTGAGTTATCAGTAGGAATTGCTGCTGCAGTTTTTCGAAGCAATTTCTCAGACGTTATGAAAGAATCACTCAGATATTCAATGAAAAACTACAGCCAGTCAGAATCAGACAAAATGGCATGGGACGATGTACAGACAAAGGTTAGTGAATTTTCAACAACACAAAAAAAAAATAACAAAAGTAGGTTAAAAGCCATATTTGATAAGAGATCTCGGAGAGCGTGACTACACGAACTTGGTTTTGTCGATGGCGACCGTATTTCTTGCAAATATTGTGACGTGCAGAATCGATTTTCTGATTGTTTCGCTTCGGAAGCTACAAAGAACAATTTCTCTTTTCTCTTACCATTTTTGTTGATGATATTCTAGGAAATTTTCATTAGGCTGACATCAAAGTTTAGTGAAATATCGTAAGGCTATTTGTTTATAATAAAAAATGGTTGTTCTTATTAAATTAGAATTATAACCATCAAAAATATTTTAAAGCAAACAAATAAATCAATATACTGTTAATGATTCAGTTAGATAAAATAGAAAAAAGAAAAATGAATTATTTAATTCTATTATGTTAAGTTTTTAATAAGCCTGGTCTGTTGAGACTCATCTAGTTCAGATTTACATGAGCCTGTTATCAGTCTAATGTATCTCACTCTCAACAAGTCAAGACCAGTTCAAGCCTGTATTAATCCTCATATTGTCCGGCCTCACAGAACAAGGTTTTCAAAAGGCTAGCCCCATCGTCGAGCCTTTGCATTCCTACCTGGGTAACGGTCTAGTGACGAAATTTATTATTGCGATCGAGCTCAAGGCGAAAACTGTCCACCCACACGAGTCAAGAATCAAGTCAGACGAGGAATAGTGAGAAATAGTACGAAAAAATCATGTCTCTGAAACTATTTGTTTCCTCCATTAGGGGAATTTAGAACTTTTCTGTGGTAATGGGAATCTACACACTCCGCCATAAAACATTATTGGATTGTTGGATCTATGCTCGGGACTTACTGTTCATTACACATAACTTTTGCTGAAATTCAGTTTACTGATACAATTTTTTTGAAATATTATTCATAATATGTTAGCTAAAGTGCTGTGGGGTTGAGTCTGAAAAAGATTGGATTGAGGCTGGTGTCCTGCAACCTGGTGTTCTGCCATCATCATGTTGTACAAATGGAGATACAGGAAATCAATGTCTTGAATCAAATGTGGAAGTTTACAGAGACGGCTGCTACTTGCAATTGAAGATGAGGGTTGAAAATAATGCTCGAATTTTGATTGGCGTTGGCATTGGAATCGCTTTTATTGAGGTACGTATTTTTATACGTATACGTTTACGTATTTTATGACATCCCGCTAGAATGAACTTTACATTTTATATTCTTATGTTGCACTAGCTGGCTGGAATCGTGCTCGCTTGCTGCCTTGCGATGGCAATCAAAAAAGATGGGGAGCAATGAGAAGAGTAGTTATTTGATTTTTCTCAATGATGAAATGAATTACTCAAGTATTGAATGCGGAAAGTAATTAACAAAAAGGTAAACTTTATTTTTTAATTTTACAAAAAACACAACTCATGTCTAGATACAGCTAATATTTAAAAATTGCTACTTATCAATTAACTAAAAATGAAATTAAAAATTTATAAGGCCATAATATATAATCAATAATCGATTAACCATGTAATGCAAGCGGATCAGATAATTTAGGTTGACATATGTCCTTTGTGATATAGCTACAACATACAATCGAAGTGTGGATTGCATGCACTTTTGAATAGTGACATTTACTCCCCTCATTTCAATGTATAATTTAGTGAGAAAAGTAAAAGATTAATACGTGAAAATAACTCAATATTGGATATGAAAAATTCATGACAATTATTGTGAATTTGAATTTGAGCCGTTTTGGAGAAATTTTTCCTGAGGAATATCTAGAAAAGTCGTAAACAGATGATATATGTTTTCCCGGCTTATTGGCAAAACTCATCCCGGAATAACTAAATGCATGATCATAATTAATTAATCTTACGAATTGAAGAAATACAAGAGGAGTCTACATCTTTTAAGTAATTATAACAAACAGTGAAAGATAAAAAAA